CTATACCAACCCACAAATTGCATTTGCTATTGGTGAATGCATTTTTGACTCTCCACATCAGAGCTATTCTCTCAGGTTTGTCCCTTGTATGACTGAGCAGATAGCTCATGTACTTTCTTGAGCTTGAGGCTAGATTTTTTTTATACTACACATCTGTACATTTCTCAATGAAGAGATTACAGTGATAATGATAAAAGCATTTTCCCCACTAGAGAGCAACATCCACTAAGACTATATACTTCGATACTTGCTAAGGCAAACTTGGTAGTATCTGCCAACAAGTTCTTGCCCACTGCGTTCTCCATTTGCAGTCAACTTAATATTGTTAAAATGTTTTTCATGATTAACTTATGTATACAGAAGTTCCAATTTAGCCCAGTTATTTGAAAGTACACAAACTGATAATTCATTTGAGATTTAGTAAAGCACTGAGTAAAGCTTATATGAGAATCTGGAGTGGAAATCAAACTGCTAATCCAAGTTTAAAACCAAGTTTCTGCAGTGAAAACATACACTAAGTGTAGGATTAGCAGAAAAAAAGATTTGGGGTAAAAATGACAGTGGAATTGTGGTGCATATCTTCAGGAAGTTTACTCATTACAGAACTGCTTGCTTTTTCTGGTTTAACACTTTTAAAAAGAGTTACAAGATGGACCCATTTCCACCCCATTACTAACCCATGGGAACAGGAGACAGAAAAAGTATGTAAATGAATGTCAGCTACCATGCAGTTTCACATATGAACATTTTTATTATACTACTTAAAACTGTATTATTGTTGTAACATGAGTACTGGAGGTTCGGGGCCCACAGTTTAATTACTTTTATGATTTAATTTTAGAGCCAATTATTGCTCTATTTCAAATGATAAAGAATTGGAAATGGCTGGCGAACCATGTGTTAGGTAAGAGCAGTGTTTCTCAAAGTGTTCTGCGGGTCCACTTTGGGAAAGCCACTAGTGGTCCTGCACTGGTTTGTTTACCTAAAGGGTTTGTAGCCATGGAGTCTCATGGCTCCCATTGGCTCTGATTCACCATTTCCAGCCAAAAGGAGCCTCAGGAAGCAATGTGACCCAGGCCACCACTTCCCATGGCTCCTATTGACTGAAAACAGCAAACTGGAGCCATTGGAAGTTATGAGGTTCCATTGTTGTGGATGGTATACAAAGAGGCACGGGCGTCCTAATGGCTTTCCCAAAGCAGGTCTGTAGAACACTGAGAAACACTGGATTAGAGAATTGTTTAGGCATTAGTATACAAATGTATAACAATGATTCCTTAGAATAGTAGTCACCTGTGAAGGATGGCCCTCAAAAACAGTAGTACATATAAATGGTAAGTATTTCCACACACACACACACACACACACACACACACACACCCACCCCTCATTACTTGACAGCTTTGCACTGATATTGATATATTTCCAGAAGGGTACATGAATCAGCTTTGGGACAAGTGCCCCAAAATGCTTTTCAGCATTCAACATTCATTTACACCCTTCATTTTTCTAAAAAGCTAGAGACTTCCAAATAGCTGCATCTGAAAATATGAGCTAAATGAGCAAGTGGACATTGATTTGTAAGCTTAAATATGTTTAATTCTTTGCTATTCTAAATAAATGGGCAGGCACTAATATTTTGAGTGTTTGGAGAGCCTACAAATATCTAAGCACATACATATAGAAACTAGTTTGATAATAGCTGCAGTTTTCTTTTTGTAAACAGTAAGAAATTGAGCAATACATTGACTGCTTAAATTTAACAGATTTTTAGAGCTTTAATTTTACTCTATTACTTCAGTGGGTTGCCGAGTTAGTCCGTAACTGGAAAAATGTAAACAAATAGTCTAGTAGCACCTTAAAGACTAACAAAACATGTAGACGGTATCATGAGCTTTCCTGGGGAAAAACCACGAAAGCTCATGATACCATCTATATTTTTGTGTTAATCTTTAAGGTGCTACCAGTGTATGTGTTTTTTTTACTCTACTAGTTTGACAAACAACTGTCTGATGTATTTTATACTAATTTCTACTCCTAAACCAAACATTCTTATGTACTTTGGATACTAAGTACAGCATAAATGCTGTCCATTCTGAAACATTCATTTTCCTGAAGTTAGACTAAGAGAAAAATTAAATTCCACACATGTTGCTACTAGGATTTAAGCAAGTTTTTAAAACTGCTCATTAAAGAAACTGAAATATGATCTTTATCTATTCTCTAGAATATAAAGGAGATCCCTATTTTCCATACTGCTATAAAAACTGATAACATAACATCTCAAAAAATTCAGTACTAATTTTATACGTTAGTTGAAATAATTCTCTCTTATTTTGACACAGAATTGCACTAAGTTTCTAACTGAAAAACTACTGAGCATATTATACTGGAGCACTTGTTTTGCCAGCAAGATGAAGTGTGTGATAAGCTTATTTCCCATCTCCATTTCTAATGCTTTTTTTCCCCTCCTCTCAAGAAAGACAGACAGCCACAGCGAAGCTGCCTCCTTGAGAGGCTGAGTGTAACTGACACCATTAACAGACAGGCTTCGGCTTACTGGTTAAATGGTTAGTCATTTACACCCTAACTTCACTATTTAAAATGCAGTAGCATTTAGCAATACAGCAGCCAATCAGGACTGGCTTGCCAACTACGACAAGAGGTTTTTTAGGATCTGTCATCTCTTTAAATTGGACGTGTACACTATGACTATCTACACTACAGACGTTACACTAGCACAGTTGCACCACTGTAAGGTCACCAGCATAACAACTTGATGGTGACAGGAGACAGCTCTTCTGTTTACATAATTAAACCACCCCTGATAAGTAACGTGTTTTTCCCCCCCCACACTCAAATGTGCAAGTGTAGACATGGCCTAGAGGTAATTCCAACACAAGTGAAAAGAAAAAAAGTCTTATGAACACAGTATGCACAACTGGAATCAGCTTAACTTTCATTCTGATCACTAAGTTTTGTGGTCAAAGCCAAACTATTAAACACCTACAAGTTCTGAATCACTGGAATTTTTCTTCTATTTCCTGTAAAAACACCAACAATACTCAATATTCTGTTTGTATTAGATCAAGAACAACAAAAGGAGCACTCTGACATCTTGGTCTTAAGCGTATACTTATCTCAGAAGCCCTAGATCATACCTGACAGATTTATGTCTTCCAATGTTTCCAACCATAAATGTCACAGTAAATGAGAGGAACTTTCAACAGGGTAAAATGCAATCTTATTTTGAGATTGTTATACACAAGTAGTTAGCCAAAAGCTTTTAAAAAACTTATTAGCATATACATAAAATATTGAAATTAGCCAAGAATAATCTGTTGAATAAATGATAGGCTTGAAAAATGTGGTAATCTACTAAATTGCAAAGGAATAGGGGGCTCAGATTCCTACAAAGGTGCTGTCCCTTGAGCCTGTTTAGAAACTCTTTTATACCAGCAGCCAGACAGTAGATATAGGAAATATTAAGTTCCCCAGCCTCCTCCTGACTTATCTAGTTGCTGGAAATGAAAGAATGTTTCTTTATTGTGCTAGCATGATCCAAGCTTTTGGATGTGATGAGATGAAAGAAACACTTTTTTTTGGGCGGGGGGGGGGGGGGGGAGGCCCACCACACCACAGCTTCAGTAACTGCTTCTTTTACTACTTCTAGGTCTCCCATGAAGTGGCAGCATGAAGTTGGCTAAACCTCTCATCAGTTTTCACTGTTGCTATTCAGAACCCTATGCCAAACAGAGGGGGGGGGGGGAGGAATAAGCAGAGTTTCCATTCTGTTGTAGTTTAGAAGAGCTATGAGACTCCTGCAGGCTTGAGATGACAGTACTGCAGTAGTTTAACCTCTTGACTGGGAAACAATTTTTTTTAAAATCAATAGTTCTCAACCTGTCGACCACTTGCATCTCAATCAGCACAGAGCTGCAGCCCATGTAACACCCTCAGTTCCACACAGATAGTATTGGGTGCACCCAATACTGGTATACAAGTTGACAGCCACTACTTTAAATGCAAGATTAGACCCATGTTATCAATTTCCATGAAAATCTACCATGTCAAGGGAAGCAACCCATTTTTCAACAGCACTCAAGAACAGACTGGATTTACAAAGCCCCAGATTCAAATCATTTTATATGTGATCCAGATAAATGCACTGAAATGTACTTGTGTCTCTAGTAAATTAACAATGATTTTAGCAAATGGTGGCCAATGATTAGTACAATAAGTACTTGTATCATTGGAGCCTGACTGCTGAAAATGTGGTCAATTCCCAGTATAGATGAGGCTTGTGTTTAGTTTCTACAGCATCCAAAAGCATGATGTAGCACATTCTACTACAGCTAATAAAGTGATTCTGTATTCATTCCTTCAATACCAAAATACCCCAAATGAATCTAAAAAGAATATACTGCACACATTTTTTAGCAAAGCCCAAGTTTGGAAATGACATTACTTTATCTAGTCAGTATCGACCCTCAAACTACTTTGTCTAAAGTGGCTAATAATATGCATTTGACACTAAGTTTGTTCTATAGAACAAAGCTGAGAATTCTAGTAGTAAATATTACAGTAGCGTGTAAGGGCATTCATCATGGTTTAGGTGCTGTACAAATGCATGAAATGATTCCTGCCCCCAAAGAGTTTACTATCTCAATAAGATTCACTGTTTGGAATGTTACTAGAGGCCTTTCAGTAAATGAAGCTCTATATTAATTCGCTCTTGACAGTGTATCTAGATCCTGTAAAAGGACAAGATAAACTGTATCAAGCAACTGTGCTAAAAATTGCTCTTATAAGAAAGCTTTCAAAAGTTTCTTCCCAGCAATTTAACTAACTCAAAATCTGGGAACTAACAGTTCACATATACTACATATGGAAAATGCAGCCACGTCCTGCTTAGAAGATATAGGCAGTACACGCACACATCACATCTCTGACACTCTGGACACAAAAGCAAACAGCAAAAGAGCTCAGCAAACAGGCACCTGTTAGCTATTTGGCAATATACTCTACATCAACACCAAACTCTTCTGCCTGCTACTTCGTTTCCTTCTGTGGCTAGAGACGGCAATTTCTGCAGGTAGATGTAGGACAGCGTCTTCCTCCCTCACAGCCCGGCACCTAGATGCGGGGCGGGGCACACTAGCAGAGCCACACTCACTCCAACGCGGGGCACCCCACGCCGACCCACTCCCTCCCACTGCAGGGAAGGCATCAGAGACTCGCCAAGGGAAATAGTTTCCATCCCTCCCTGGTTCCCCCGCCGGGCGGCAGCCCCCTGGCTGGCGGAGCGGCAGCTTAATGCCCTCGCCTCGCGGCACCTAGATGCGGGGCGGGGCACACTAGCAGAGCCACACTCACTCCAACGCGGGGCACCCCACGCCGACCCACTCCCTCCCACTGCAGGGAAGGCATCAGAGACTCGCCAAGGGAAATAGTTTCCATCCCTCCCTGGTTCCCCCGCCGGGCGGCAGCCCCCTGGCTGGCGGAGCGGCAGCTTAATGCCCTCGCCTCGCACACAGCCCTGGGCGCTGCTCCCTCCACCTACAGCTCCCCCGTGCAGAGGCCTCAGCTTCCCCGGCCGCCCCTCTCGCGAGCGG